TTTTGCGCACGCACACACGCAGTCTTTTCTCATTATTATATATACAATAATACACAGGCATTTTATTACTATATATATCGAGTATTGAACGCAATCGCTTTCGCTGTTAACTACATTTTGCACATACATTTATACGTGGTCATTTTTATTATTATACAATAATGTGATTTTTTCAGATCAATCAGCTGTTTTGTCAATTCTTGCATTACTAATAATTTCTCTGCCGCAATAATCATGCTCTATGGCCGCATTCGGCAGAAAAAGCGCTCAGTTATCGTCTTATCAACACTCGACGTTGATTTGTTAGTTCTAAAAGTAACAGCCAATCGCGTCCGATTGCTACTGAGTGGTTTTCTCTGCTGAAAGCGCCCTATGATAACATACATAATATATAAATATATCTCATTACATAATTTTATCATTAAAAGATAAGCACTCTATAACGAATGGTTCGTGAAAAAAAGCTGGGTGATGTATTTTAAAAACGTAGTGAAAATTTTTACTATCTAAAATATATTACATATATATATGTGTGTGTGTGTGTGTATATATATGTATGTTTTTTTATATGGAAATAAAATTATTTGTAAAATTAACAATTTTGTTTATTGTTATGATGAGAGTACATGATGAGTAATAATATAAAAAAAAATGTGTTTTATTTATAGTCTTATTTTTATTAAAAAATTAATTTTATTGTAGTCGTAAATATATTAGAAAGATTATAAAGAAAAACATTTTTCAAATATTTTGAATCTTTTCTGTAGATCTGAAATAATTGTGAATAACAAATGTATGTTTCATTATATTGTTTTGCAGTGGTGATTTATATATTTAGAAAATATTGTACAATGGTTCGGCAAATTTTTATTGGTCCTATGATTCATACAGATGAAAATGGTGAATTGATTATTAAGGAGAGTATTGCTATATTTATCGAAGATGGCAAGGTATTTAATATATATTCCATATATTCCACATATATTACTTTTACCATTTTTTGATTTATTAATAATTAATTTAATATAGATAAAATAAAACAATATCTTTATTAACATCTATTATACAATATCCAGATTATTGATGTTATGGAAAATCCAACGACAGATCAACACAAGATAGACGATTTTCATGCAGACAAAGTTAATAATTTATCATATGGAGAGTTTATGATACCTGGATTTATTGATTGTCATACTCATGCGGTGCAGTTTCCAAATCTTGGATTGGGTTACGACAAATGTCTCTTGGAATGGCTGGAGACCTATACTTTTCCATTGGAGAAGAAGTATACTGAGGCAAAATTTGCAGAGCAAGTCTTTGAAGCAGTTGTGGTATTTAAAACAAATTTTTTGAAGAATAATATTATTTAAGAACAATATTTATATAATAATATAATATAATACAATGTATAATATTGTGTATTTGACATATAAAATATTCTTGTAATTTTCATTACTATTTTAATCATTATTGCAGAAACGAACTATTGAAGTAGGTACAACGACAGCATGTTACTTTGCATCTCTGTATATCGAGGCATCTGTAATTCTCGCGAAAAAAGTTGTAGAACTGGGTCAACGGGCTTTCATTGGAAAAGTAAACATGAATGCTCCACGGAACGATGGATATTATGAAAGCACGGAAAAATCAATTAAGGATACTATAGCCTTTGTAGAATCTGTTGAACAAATAGGAGTAAATGCAAACTTATATTTTATTTCCTGCACATTGTGATAAAACATCAGTTTTCTAATTATATAAATAGAAAATTTTACATTATAATTACATAAACCAAAAATATCATAGTATTCAAAACTTTTTACAGAATCCGCTTGTAAAACCGATTATTACTCCAAGATTTGCATTGAGCTGTAACATGGAATTAATGCAAGAGCTAGCAAAGATTGCTAAAGCAAAAGATTTACATATACAGGTATTAATATTACACTCGCGTAACATGCATCATGTCCTAGTGTTAATTCAACATGTTTTTCATTTTCTATAGAGTCATGTCTCTGAAAATGAAGCCGAAATAAGAGCAGTAAAACAAACTTTCAAAGAACAATCATCATACATGGCTGTTTACGAAGCCGCTGGTCTTCTTACCAACAAAGTAAGACTTAATTTTGTTTTGTTTTAATCTATTACATAGATTGAAAGAATCGATATTATATATATTAATCTCATACACGATAGAGATATCCCAATTAAATGTACATATAATAAATATTTTACAGACAATATTAGCACATGGAATCCATCTTGAAGATAGTGAACTTACCATGCTTGAGAAACGAGGAACAGCTATAATTCATTGTCCATCTTCAAACATGTATCTGAGAAGTGGCCTTTGCGATGTGCGAAGACTAAAAGCTAAGAATATCAAAGTCGGCCTTGGAACAGGTGCCGCAAGACCATCTTACAAAAATTTTATATTATTAATGACATATTTTGATATAAAATTCAACGTAATAATTAATTGACATAATGTTCATTATTACATTAATAATAAATGTGTCTTCTCTCAGATGTTGCAGGTGGATCAAGTTACAGTATGTTAGATGAAATGAGATCGGTTTTACATGTATCAATTTGTCTATCTCTAATGAAACATGATCATGTACCATTTAATTACAAAGAAGTCTTCCATATGGCAACATTAGGAGGTGCTAAAGGTAAAGATCGATATTACATATTAGAAACTAATATCTAATTATTGTGCAAAATATATTTTTTTATAATACATATAATTATATGTACTAAAATTTTCAATCTAATTATGTGTATATTGTTACATTGACTGTGTTTAGCACTTTCGATTGACGACAAAGTCGGTAACCTAATGCCAGGCAAAGATTTTGATGCTCTCATCATAAATTTGAATGCAAAAAACAGCCTGTTGGATAATTTCAAAGAATACACACTTGAGGAAAAACTCCAAAGATTTATATATTCCGGTGATGATCGTAATATAGTATCAGTTTATGTTAGAGGTAGAAAAGTTAAATAAGAAAGAGTCTTATTTTTACACTACAGATGCATTGTTAAATAACATTTCATAATGGAAATAAGTTGTTGAAGGATTTATATAAAACTACTTCTATTTTTGTATGTTATATACGAATTTATAAATGATATTTTGTAATATTGATTAAAATTAAACTATAAATATATATATTATATATTAACTTCTCGTTTTTCTTTTAATAATTTTTTTTAAATATGTATCTTATTTTCTCTTAATATATCTTAATGATCATCTTAACAAGTAGTATAATATATTGAATTTGTATCTCTCTTAGGATTGAAATTGCGTTATTATTGCGTTAGCGATCGAAATTGTTCAATTATCATAAAGATCCACTTAATATTTTTTTTTAAATGTACTTTCTGTCATGATGCAATACTTTCTGTTAACGTAAAGTAAAGGAAAGATACGCGCCTTTTTTTTGAAACATCGGATATGACGTACACAAGAAGCGCCATCATGAAGCAGGACCGAAATCTTCGTCTTTTTCTTTCGTGATTTCACGTGCAAGAGAGGTCGAAAGAAGTAATGTGAGTATATATTTTAGAAATTTGAGAAAATGGACATTCTTATATATAAGAAATTCTGTTACGTTCCAAAATATCTTGTCAAATTCCACGTGTTGACGTGTTTGCGGTTTATGATTAAAAATCAAGAATATTTAATAAATATCAAGAAAAGTATCAATTGTATTCTCGATTTCTGTTTTCTTTATACTCTATTAGTAGCTATTATAAAATTTTATTTTGTTGCAAAACTATGGTGATTATAGAAAGATATATCTGGCATGACGATTATTATCAATAATACTTTCAAAAAATTCGAATTTTTCAGGATAAATATATTATTTGTGATTTCGAAACATTTTCTTTATAATGTATTACTCAATCACAGAATGGCGGACGCTGCTCCAGCCACACGTGGTGGTTTTCGTGGAGGTTTCGGTTCTCGTGGAGCGGGAGGCGATCGGGGAGGCCTCAGAGGTCGTGGACGTGGTAGAGGAAGAGGACGCGGCCGTGGACGCGGAAAAGAAGATAGCAAGGAATGGGTCCCTGTTACGAAGCTTGGTCGTCTGGTCAGAGATGGCAAAATCCAATCCCTGGAACACATCTATTTGTTCTCCTTACCCATCAAGGAATATGAGATCATCGACAAGTTTCTCGGTCCAGATCTGAAGGATGAAGTTCTAAAAATCATGCCTGTACAGAAGCAGACTCGAGCTGGTCAACGCACGCGTTTTAAGGTAAAGCTGAAGTGACTTTTAGATATTGTAAGCGATCAAAGTTGGTAAAAAAGCAAAAAATACAAAAATTTGGAGAGACTGACAAGGATATTAAAAATGTAAACATTTTATAGGCTTTTGTTGCCATCGGAGACAGCAATGGACACATCGGATTGGGAGTGAAGTGTTCCAAGGAAGTAGCCACTGCCATTCGAGGTGCTATTATTCTGGCTAAGCTCTCCGTCGTCCCGGTACGACGTGGTTATTGGGGTAACAAGATCGGCAAGCCACACACTGTGCCGTGCAAGGTGACCGGCAAGTGCGGTTCTGTGCAGGTGCGTCTGATACCGGCACCCAGAGGTACTGGTATCGTGTCCGCTCCGGTTCCCAAAAAGCTGCTTCAGATGGCAGGTATCGAGGACTGTTACACTTCAGCCAGGGGATCCACCTGCACACTCGGCAATTTTGCAAAGGCCACTTATGCCGCGATCGCTAAAACATACGCGTATCTGACGCCTGATCTGTGGAAGGAACAAGCTTTAGCTAAGGCACCATACCAGGAATTTGCTGATTTTCTGTCAAAGACTCACAAAGGTGGTGTGAGAGCTGCTGAAGTTGTCTAAATAAACATCCATTCTCCATGGAATGTCTTTGAAAATAGGGATTTTGTTATTTTCCTCTTCAACCCTTTCATTCCTTGTAATTTAGTGTACTATATATTTTATATATAATGTGTACGTTACTTATTTATCAATTTATTTAATTACGATATCTAAACCTGTGTATATATCCTATACAATTTCATTAAAAAAATAGTCGACTATATCTATCTTAGTAATATATACAATTTTAATAGTATATTTTTATTTAATTAAAAAACTTATATCTACTAATATAATATACGAGTCTGAGGAAAAATGACGATGTTACGTAGTAATATGTTCTGTAGGAACATCATTTGAGGATTTGTACTTCTTATATGCTTTGTCAAATGTTTCAATTGTATGATCACATATTTTCTCAAGATCCTGGAGGCCCCGTTTCAACACTTCAATTGCATTTTCACCAGTTGTTTGAATATTAAAATGTATCTTGTTTTCTGCCGGATGAGGTACAGTGTAAGCGCATATTTTTATGCCAGGACTGCGAAAAAAATGAAAAAGGAAAATCATTAATAAATTCTATATACGTGCTTATTATTATTCATAAAATTTAAGTAACACATACTATTCATTTATCACGCTAGATAGTGCATTTCCTAGGGTATGCCCCTCGTCGACGAGGACGAAAGTCGCGTATGTGATTCCATGATTTCCTGGTATCTGTATTTACAATTAATAACCGAATAATTTCCATTTTTATAACTTTCTTAAAATCGATTAATATATATACTTCATTGCCAATTAATATTAACATTAATTAAAATTCGTGAGATTAATTTACCTTTGAGAGACGCTTTTCCATTGTATAATTCATGGTGAACAGCTATAATTCATTGTCCATCTTCAAACATGTATCTGAGAAGTGGCCTTTGCGATGTGCGAAGACTAAAAGCTAAGAATATCAAAGTCGGCCTTGGAACAGGTGCCGCAAGACCATCTTACAAAAATTTTATATTATTAATGACATATTTTGATATAAAATTCAACGTAATAATTAATTGACATAATGTTCATTATTACATTAATAATAAATGTGTCTTCTCTCAGATGTTGCAGGTGGATCAAGTTACAGTATGTTAGATGAAATGAGATCGGTTTTACATGTATCAATTTGTCTATCTCTAATGAAACATGATCATGTACCATTTAATTACAAAGAAGTCTTCCATATGGCAACATTAGGAGGTGCTAAAGGTAAAGATCGATATTACATATTAGAAACTAATATCTAATTATTGTGCAAAATATATTTTTTTATAATACATATAATTATATGTACTAAAATTTTCAATCTAATTATGTGTATATTGTTACATTGACTGTGTTTAGCACTTTCGATTGACGACAAAGTCGGTAACCTAATGCCAGGCAAAGATTTTGATGCTCTCATCATAAATTTGAATGCAAAAAACAGCCTGTTGGATAATTTCAAAGAATACACACTTGAGGAAAAACTCCAAAGATTTATATATTCCGGTGATGATCGTAATATAGTATCAGTTTATGTTAGAGGTAGAAAAGTTAAATAAGAAAAAGTCTTATTTTTACACTACAGATGCATTGTTAAATAACATTTCATAATGGAAATAAGTTGTTGAAGGATTTATATAAAACTACTTCTATTTTTGTATGTTATATACGAATTTATAAATGATATTTTGTAATATTGATTAAAATTAAACTATAAATATATATATTATATATTAACTTCTCGTTTTTCTTTTAATAATTTTTTTTAAATATGTATCTTATTTTCTCTTAATATATTTTAATGATCATCTTAACAAGTAGTATAATATATTGAATTTGTATCTCTCTTAGGATTGAAATTGCGTTAGCGATCGAAATTGTTCAATTATCATAAAGATCCACTTAATATTTTTTTTTAAATGTACTTTCTGTCATGATGCAATACTTTCTGTTAACGTAAAGTAAAGGAAAGATACGCGCCTTTTTTTTGAAACATCGGATATGACGTACACAAGAAGCGCCATCATGAAGCAGGACCGAAATCTTCGTCTTTTTCTTTCGTGATTTCACGTGCAAGAGAGGTCGAAAGAAGTAATGTGAGTATATATTTTAGAAATTTGAGAAAATGGACATTCTTATATATAAGAAATTCTGTTACGTTCCAAAATATCTTGTCAAATTCCACGTGTTGACGTGTTTGCGGTTTATGATTAAAAATCAAGAATATTTAATAAATATCAAGAAAAGTATCAATTGTATTCTCGATTTCTGTTTTCTTTATACTCTATTAGTAGCTATTATAAAATTTTATTTTGTTGCAAAACTATGGTGATTATAGAAAGATATATCTGGCATGACGATTATTATCAATAATACTTTCAAAAAATTCGAATTTTTCAGGATAAATATATTATTTGTGATTTCGAAACATTTTCTTTATAATGTATTACTCAATCACAGAATGGCGGACGCTGCTCCAGCCACACGTGGTGGTTTTCGTGGAGGTTTCGGTTCTCGTGGAGCGGGAGGCGATCGGGGAGGCCTCAGAGGTCGTGGACGTGGTAGAGGAAGAGGACGCGGCCGTGGACGCGGAAAAGAAGATAGCAAGGAATGGGTCCCTGTTACGAAGCTTGGTCGTCTGGTCAGAGATGGCAAAATCCAATCCCTGGAACACATCTATTTGTTCTCCTTACCCATCAAGGAATATGAGATCATCGACAAGTTTCTCGGTCCAGATCTGAAGGATGAAGTTCTAAAAATCATGCCTGTACAGAAGCAGACTCGAGCTGGTCAACGCACGCGTTTTAAGGTAAAGCTGAAGTGACTTTTAGATATTGTAAGCGATCAAAGTTGGTAAAAAAGCAAAAAATACAAAAATTTGGAGAGACTGACAAGGATATTAAAAATGTAAACATTTTATAGGCTTTTGTTGCCATCGGAGACAGCAATGGACACATCGGATTGGGAGTGAAGTGTTCCAAGGAAGTAGCCACTGCCATTCGAGGTGCTATTATTCTGGCTAAGCTCTCCGTCGTCCCGGTACGACGTGGTTATTGGGGTAACAAGATCGGCAAGCCACACACTGTGCCGTGCAAGGTGACCGGCAAGTGCGGTTCTGTGCAGGTGCGTCTGATACCGGCACCCAGAGGTACTGGTATCGTGTCCGCTCCGGTTCCCAAAAAGCTGCTTCAGATGGCAGGTATCGAGGACTGTTACACTTCAGCCAGGGGATCCACCTGCACACTCGGCAATTTTGCAAAGGCCACTTATGCCGCGATCGCTAAAACATACGCGTATCTGACGCCTGATCTGTGGAAGGAACAAGCTTTAGCTAAGGCACCATACCAGGAATTTGCTGATTTTCTGTCAAAGACTCACAAAGGTGGTGTGAGAGCTGCTGAAGTTGTCTAAATAAACATCCATTCTCCATGGAATGTCTTTGAAAATAGGGATTTTGTTATTTTCCTCTTCAACCCTTTCATTCCTTGTAATTTAGTGTACTATATATTTTATATATAATGTGTACGTTACTTATTTATCAATTTATTTAATTACGATATCTAACCCTGTGTATATATCCTATACAATTTCATTAAAAAAATAGTCAAGACTATATCTATCTTAGTAATATATACAATTTTAATAGTATATTTTTATTTAATTAAAAAACTTATATCTACTAATATAATATACGAGTCTGAGGAAAAATGACGATGTTACGTAGTAATATGTTCTGTAGGAACATCATTTGAGGATTTGAACTTCTTATATGCTTTGTCAAATGTTTCAATTGTATGATCACATATTTTCTCAAGATCCTGGAGGCCCCGTTTCAACACTTCAATTGCATTTTCACCAGTTGTTTGAATATTAAAATGTATCTTGTTTTCTGCCGGATGAGGTACAGTGTAAGCGCATATTTTTATGCCAGGACTGCGAAAAAAATGAAAAAGGAAAATCATTAATAAATTCTATATACGTGCTTATTATTATTCATAAAATTTAAGTAACACATACTATTCATTTATCACGCTAGATAGTGCATTTCCTAGGGTATGCCCCTCGTCGACGAGGACGAAAGTCGCGTATGTGATTCCATGATTTCCTGGTATCTGTATTTACAATTAATAACCGAATAATTTCCATTTTTATAACTTTCTTAAAATCGATTAATATATATACTTCATTGCCAATTAATATTAACCTTAATTAAAATTCGTGAGATTAATTTACCTTTGAGAGACGCTTTTCGAGAACGCAAGGAGCACGGAACAGAGTATGTCCTTTTCTACATGCACCTTGGCCCCCACTCCTCAACACTCAGTCTAGATATACTATGGCCGGTATTCATAGTCAGTTCTTATAGAGCGCGTTCCGTTTCACGCATTGAGCGCATGGATCGCCTGGAAATCTATAATATATGTTACGTGAACTATAGATTTCCAGGCGATCTATGCGCTCAATGCGTGAAACGGAACGCACTCATATTTAAGATCGTCTTAGTGCCGGTCTACAATAGGTGATTTCAGTCCTAAGCCTTAAGAAATTGACCAATCACAATCAAGTATGAGGAGAATACTCGACTGTGATTAGTCAATTTCTTAAGTGCCGGTCTACAATAAATGATTTAAGCCCTAAGCCTTAAGACGGTCTTGAAATAAGAACTGACTATGAATACCGGCCTATGTCTATGAATTTTACCATCGACACCGCCATCGCTTTCGTCGGTAATTTTACATAACCTCTAAAATAGATGGCAATACTATACGAGACTAGATAAGTGTCCTCCGAGAAATATCGAGCTTTTCTCTGGGGAGTCTAGAGTTTCATTGTAATTTTGGAAAAAAAATCGCTCAAATAAATTATGCGATTTCTTCAGAAACACCTTCTTTTGCATGTACGTATCTTCTATTCTTCGCATGCGCTTATAATAACTGATGCTTTCCATGGGTGTACTAGACACAGAATCAAATAATACACATATAAAATAAAATTAAATATCAATCCTTTGGGCCGTCCTTTCTCGCCGCGCGCTAATACTCGCGTGATTTGATTGATCTTTTTTAATTAATTTCTCAATAATTATTGCGAAAATCACAAAATGGTAAAGGACTTTTCGCCCCGGTTTTACCTGTTCTACCTGCACATTACGGATGGGGCGATTATTATCAGACACTCTGTATATTTTTCTTAACTTTGAAAGTAATTTTCAAATTATAAAAAAAAATTAAAAAAAAAAAAAAATATATATATATATATATATTTTAACTGATACTAATGTACACTGTACAGTAATCACATATAGGTTTTATCTGGTAGCGAATTGACGTCGCAATGAGTCTGAGACAAATCTACGACATTGTCGTTCGTCGGAACGTGCGAGTCCAAAGCGTTCTCGGGAGATTTTTCGCCACAGAGTCGACAGAATCTAAGAACGAGGCCGTCGACATAACCGCTGCCGACGAGAAACCAATATACTCCCCAATGGACGATTCGCAATTTCAAGAGGAGCTTGCCAGGAAGCGGAACAAGTCCCGACTGAGTCCGCAAGACAGGAACGTGCTTATGGGCCTACGTCCTTATGATAAGCCTATGTCATGGCATCACTATAAAGTGAAATACAAGAGAGTTATGTTGGGTAGATATGGATTGGCAGCCAATGGCATTCCGGCAGGATTTGCTTGGCCCACTCGGAAAGAAATCAGAAATGCTGAAGAGTATGAGAGAGTTGCTTTCCCATTATCTCTTCAGGAAAGATGGAAGGAGCTGGAGGAGAGAAAGCAGAGAAAAGCTGACCAGATTAAAGCAAGGCATGTTTTTATCGATTGTATTACTTATCAGTTTAGATGAAACTTTACTAATAATTTAGAACAGTGTATAATTATGTACATTTGCATTTGCAGGGAAAACCAATTACTCGAGAAAGCGATGAAAATGGGTGAATGGAGAGCCCAGTTGAATGCTAAAATTGTTAAGAAAGAAGCCGAGTTAGAGGCTGCGAGATTGCGCAAGGAACGTCTGGTAGAGGAAATCAGGAGACATTTTGGCTTCAAGATTTCGCCTCATGATGAAAGATTTAAAGAGATGCTAGTGCAGAAAGAAAAGGAGGAGAAAAAGAAGAAGAAAGAGGCTAAAAAGCAGGCGAGACTCGAGAGGATAACTAATATGATCCAAAGAGTGAGCAAAGACGAGAGTCAAAAACAAGTAACCGATTCAACAAAATCTGTAGAATAATAATATTTTCATTCATGAGAAATAAAAATGTAAAATTTTAATTGTAGCTAATAAATTTATAATTCTTAACTCCTCTCAATTATTTTCAAGTAGAATATTTATACCAGACCAATATAAACCCTGTAACTCTTTTCTTTATATTTTATTTCAGCGTTTTCACATCACGAGACATCCCGAGATTGATTATGATCAAAACTTCCCCAAATACTATCTCTTTTACATTATTACGAAAGCTTATCTTTGTAGTAGAAACTTTTCAACAGACATTTCATTTACTTGCGAGAATGATATAAATGACGGGGATAATATATACATGTAATAGTAAATATCGTATTTTCTTTACTAATACAAAAACATTACACACTGTTTCGCAAAAGACTAGAAGAAATAAATGCATAGTTGATAAGTGACGTTCATCTTAAGACACTTTAACCAGGCACACGTTGGACGATATATGTAATTGCTTTGTTCATTTCGGATTTCGTGCTAAGGTCCTTCGGCGATCGTTGTAAACATCACAATCATAAATCATCAAACTACGTGGCATCAGATTTGAGAGACATGACTTCCTCATATCTGCACTGTAGTTGACTCATTATCTCATTCTCTAAGCTTATCAATTAACTGGTTCAGTTAAGCTGGTTTCTAGCTATTCTAACAGTCGCATTGTAAATAAAATGATCGAACATCTCCGAAAATAGTTATCGTAAAAATTTTGTGGTAGCACAATTCGAATAAGATCAGCTTCTCGTCGTTGCACATTCGTCATCCTGATCGCTATTGATAGGCGATCTTCTCTGCGAGTTTTCCCTTTCCGAAACATTCTCCTCGGTTTCAGTATCACCGCAGATCGGTCGGTCGTCGTTATTACCGCGCGCCCGCATGTTCTGTATCTGAAATTCGTCGATCACGATAAAATGTACTTTATTGCTCTCCGTGTGTCAGGCGGATTGTAGCTGCGACGGCGATGTCAATTCGTAAAATTGGAAGCTGAGTTCCTCGCCGAAGAGATTCTCCGATCCTATGATCTCAGGATCGATCATGTTCAATCCAAAGGCGTTCGGATTCAAATCCGTCACCAGGTATCCTTCGCTCACGAGTCCGCATTCCGCGGCGACGACCTCCTTAGACACCGGATTCAGGAAATCTGCAAGTTATCTCGTTAATTTCGTTTCATAAATGCGTATTAATCTTTTTCAATAATTTCTTGAGTCACATAACGTTACGATTCTCTCACCGCTCTCCTTGAAAGAACATTGAAACTCCGTTTGTTGGACGGTCTGCTGATTCTGCTGATTCGCCTCATGATCGTTGTTGGTCACCATCATGGGAACAAGGTATTGCACCTCCACCTCGCGTTTGATACCGTTGAGTATTTGCTCGGCGGAATGCTCGAGCGTCACAGGATTCAGTATATTGTCAGTATCCTCGTCAGGATTCGGCTGCGTGATGCTCGCCGTTGCAGCCTCCACCTCGTCCATGATATCACTGTAACGTCAAAGCAAACATCCGCAATATGTTGAATATGTTATTTTTACAAGATACGATAAGAAATTACATTAGATTTTTACCTAATGATTTTGTTACTCCGGGATTCATCACAATCGTTCTGTGCAACTTGTTGCGTCGATGTAGTGGTTGCTAATCCATTAACACCGAGCGGACGAGGTCTACAATCGTTACGATTCGCGATCGCCCAAAGATGACCGGCTCCATGAGGCGCCTTCGAACCTTTCCGAAAATGTGGATTTATCGAGAGATTGTGCCGGACGGAGTTTTTCCAGCGATCATCGTTGCTCTTGTAATAAGGGAAATGTTCCCTGAAAATAATAAAAATACATTATAAATTTTATTTTACAAAAATTACACACATATTATTATTATAATATAATCTCAGTATATTTTTTCTCACCCGAAACAATATTGAATTTCGCGTTTAATAATTATATGATAGGAAAAGTTCTTTTTTACATATGTAGGCGGATCAAAGGGGAACATGATTAGAGATATTGCGCGCGTAAAAATGCATGACGGCAATTTACGTCCCCACGAAACTAATTTCCTTCACCTGCTCGCAGCGATGTCACGGTGCGTTACGCACCCCCTACGCGATTAATTTCACTAGTTTAGGTGAAAGGCAAAGAGAGACGAAAGGCGTTTGAGCCGAGGGTGCATTCGAAATGCTAAACGGCGTGTTTACTCGCTTCTCTGATCACGATGATCGCGACAAATGGTGTCATTGATAATTTAACGAATCTGTTTCGAACTTTTCACATATCGTATATATATTTCAAACTTGTACAATAAAAAGAAAAATATTGTAAACATCATCAAATATGTCCGAAAGAGATATTCTTACATTCCCGAGAGGCATTCTTAATTTGAAATTTAAAATGTCAGTTTTAATCCGCATCATACATATCATGATTAAAATCTCGGATAAACAAGCAAATAAGATTTTATTATTAAGAGAAAATGAGATTTATAAAATACGACTTGAATGTTTATATTTATAAATCTGCCTTTTTTGGTGCAAAATTATTATATATCTTTTATAATTCGAGCGGCTATACTATGCTATACGGATGATCTATATACGCTTTTTCCAAGGAGCTTGAGCGGCGATCGAACAGGTGAAGGCACAGGAGCAGTAAATTGCGCGCATTCGTGTTGAGGGCTGCAGCAAAGGATAGCCGAAGGGTGAGGAGTTAGTGCCAGGTGGTGCCAAGCAATGGGGGCAGTGGTACCAATAGGTACCATCCAGGAGCAACCCACCCCCGTCAACCCACCCCCGACCACAGTGGGCCATACTCGTGTAAATTCGTAGAAAGCTTTCTGCGCGGTCGTAACATAAATAAGAAAGACACTCCGTATATTTTTCGAATGTAACTTGTAAATATTTTCCTTTTACAATCTGTTGATCTTTTATCGGTATTTTAATTAATAAATTATTTTACTGGATTATCATTCCATTCAATAACGGAGTTTAAAAAAAAAAACATATATAAACAAATATAAAAATAATTAGAAACCAGAAAATGTCCGAAAGAGATATTCTTACATTCCCGAGAGGCATTCTTAATTTGAAATTTAAAATGTCAGTTTTAATCCGCATCATACATATCATGATTAAAATCTCGGATAAACAAGCAAATAAGATTTTATTATTAAGAGAAAATGAGATTTATAAAATACGACTTGAATGTTTATATTTATAAATCTGCCTTTTTTGGTGCAAAATTATTATATATCTTTTATAATTCGAGCGGCTATACTATGCTATACGGATGATCTATATACGCTTTTTCCAAGGAGCTTGAGCGGCGATCGAACAGGTGAAGGCACAGGAGCAGTAAATTGCGCGCATTCGTGTTGAGGGCTGCAGCAAAGGATAGCCGAAGGGTGAGGAGTTAGTGCCAGGTGGTGCCAAGCAATGGGGGCAGTGGTACCAATAGGTACCATCCAGGAGCAACCCACCCCCGTCAACCCACCCCCGACCACAGTGGGCCATACTCGTGTAAATTCGTAGAAAGCTTTCTGCGCGGTCGTAACATAAATAAGAAAGACACTCCGTATATTTTTCGAATGTAACTTGTAAATATTTTCCTTTTACAATCTGTTGATTTTTTATCGGTATTTTAATTAATAAATTATTTTACTAGATTATCATTCCATTCAATAACGGAGTTTAAAAAAAAAAAACATATATAAACAAATATAAAAATAATTAGAAACCAGAAAAAATATATATTTGGAATTATTTGATATATATATATATATTTAATTAGATATCTAATTTTGAAAGATCATGATTATGAAAGAAAATACGAGAAGATTATATAATGTTTCAGCGCGCCGACTATGGACAATAATTTTGACAAATTTTCGCAAGAAAGACAAATAAAAGTTCCTTAATAAAAAATTAATAATAATGAATAAATTTTTACTGATAACACTTACGAGATCCATTGATAAATCGCAGAGACTGTGAGCTCGCCTCTCTCTTGCAAAGCATGCTCTATCAATTCCGTGTAAGTGAAGGGAGGTTTTTTCGGTCCGTTTGACCGCGCAAAATTCCGGTTGTCGAATCCGTTGGCGGGATAAGTCGCCTGATTCGAGTCTTGTCGATACATCGATGAATTTTCGTGTCCTCTTCTGACGTCGTTAGCATAATTGGAGCTGTGCGACCGTCCGTTTGGTTTGCTTTTGTTGCCTGGAAATGCGCAATTACCCTCGAGATTGTAAAGTCTCTATTAGACATTTATCGCAATTTAATTAAAATAACGTTGAAGATACAATTTTTCAACACTATCCGCTATTATTCGGAAAAGAGGCAGACGAAGAATAATTATCTCGTTCTACATGATTTGTTTTTATATGAGAAATTTCACTTTTAAAATTGTGAAGATTTTAATTTCAACATTAAAGTCAATAATATTCATCTCTTTAATTTTAATATTCAAGAAAGCATTAATATAAACGATTATTTTGTCCTTTGCACTTTCCTTACCGTAATGATTATCCTTTGTCAAAGCGGGCCCCACAGTGGATCTATCGTCTGCAGCTTCGATGAACGAGTCCAGTTTGAAATCCAGCAGCCACGATAGATTCCCGTTTTCCTGATCTTCGAACTGCTGCTGTTGCTGATTATTATTCATTGTTCCCTTATTTTGCTGAACGTTTGAATTGGCGAGCGATATCGCGGGTGCGGCGCCCGGTTCCCAATAATTCATCGACATCGCTGGCTGATAATTAGTCTCCTCGACGGCGTAGGTTTCCACTGGGTGGTTCCGCTCGGAGATGGTTGACGAAGACGACGACGACGACGATAACGACAACGAAGAGGACGAAGTCACGAGGACGTCCAGATTTTGCTGCTGTTCCAGTTCCGACATGGTCGTCCAGGTGCAGTTGGTGCCATCCACCAGTAACACCTCAAGATGCGCCACCTGCGATTCATCGACAATCCCCTGAGCGGACATCGGTGAGAAGAGGGCTGCCGCGTCGCTGATCATTTCGTTCGACGTAGCCACTAATTCCTCCGGCGTCTCGAGTTCCTGAAGATAACGCTTGCGATTCGTCTGGCGGATCTCCTCGCAGAAACTGTCGATGTCCAACTCATCGAAGATCTTTCGTTTAGGGCTGTCGATGTCTAGATCGTCGAAGACCTTCCGTTTGGAGGATGCGCGACTTTCGGTGACTTCACCAGCCGCCCCCGACGACGGTCCGATCATCCTGTCGGCGTTTAAACCGTAGACAAGAAATGGCAAGGTGGCAAGACACCTTGCAAAAAGAAGATGGGCGAATCAAAAGAGGACATGTAATAAAAAAATCACATTCTGTGAAAAAAACTAGACTCTGGAACTGAATTTTTCAAATAGAGAATTTAGCGAAAAAAAATCAGTGTTAAAGTTTTGTTCTTTTAATTTACGCAAAACAATTATTTTTTGCAGAATGAGATAAAGATAGGATGGTACTTCGCGTGCACAAAGCTATTTTTTATTTGGAAAATAATTCTTTTTTTACATTTGCATGAGATATCAGCTGAGCTGAAAATGTATATATATAAGTATGTGAAGTATATTTTGAAATACGATTTCTCATACAAAACGCGCTCAATTGGTTATGCAAGACTCATCTTGCATTAAAAAATGTCAGTTAAAGAGCACGGAGATTCGCGTGCAAAAGTATTTCCCTACCTTGCTCCTCCTCGCCGTCCCTTTTCTCTTCTTCTCGCGATATGCGATCCTAAACACGCGCGAATTCAAGCTTCGTTTTTTCTATTTGATCAAACTAACAATCGGAGCGATCATTGTGAGATAAGACGGCGTATAAGTATAATTTCAATCAATCGGATCTCTTTCGTGCGCGCGTAAACGCTCGCGTGTTGTCACCCCTTCGAGGATCAACGGCGATCTTAAACGCGCTCTGCCATCGCGAATTCACGTGGGTTACCTCTGTCGATCGACGTTATCGCGCACGGCCGACGCGGAACACGCTTCGGAAGTGAACCGTCGATTTTCCTCGTCGAGGATCGAGCCGCTCATCGGAGCGCGTCTACGTGATCCCGGCGCGGTGCGCGCGTCTCGTTTGTCTCGCACGTCGACTGTCCCGCGCCGCGCGCTCCGCGCATGCGCACGGCTTACCCGGCGCACCCGTGACATCCGGGGAGACAGCGCGAATTAAAGTGCTTCGCATCCAAGAGTTTAGATATTCTTCCGCAATTGTTTGAGAGAGACAAACATATACAAAGGATATCGTATCCTGTGAAATCATCTTATCTCTTCTGGATGTAAATATGGCAAAAAGTTTTAAAACTTGCAGAATTATTTAAAAAAAAAATATTTATTTCGCTTATTTCGTTCATCTTTCCAAAAGTGAAATGAACAGCCTTTAAAGAAGTGTTCCTAGATTGTGAAAATCCACCAGTGTCAACCTGCGAATTATTCATTTTCAGAAAAGTCTCCTATCTTCCGCGACGCTGACAAGGTCAAGGTAGGTAGCTTTTATCGCGGACTATCATACGTACGCACAAGAGAAAGAGAAAGAGAGAGAGAGAGAGAGAGAGAGAGAGAGCAATTTTTCGGGACGTCCAGATTTTGCTGCTGTTCCAGTTCCGACATGGTCGTCCAGGTGCAGTTGGTGCCATCCACCAGTAACACCTCAAGATGCGCCACCTGCGATTCATCGACAATCCCCTGAGCGGACATCGGTGAGAAGAGGGCTGCCGCGTCGCTGATCATTTCGTTCGACGTAGCCACTAATTCCTCCGGCGTCTCGAGTTCCTGAAGATAACGCTTGCGATTCGTCTGGCGGATCTCCTCGCAGAAACTGTCGATGTCCAACTCATCGAAGATCTTTCGTTTAGGGCTGTCGATGTCTAGATCGTCGAAGACCTTCCGTTTGGAGGATGCGCGACTTTCGGTGACTTCACCAGCCGCCCCCGACGACGGTCCGATCATCCTGTCGGCGTTTAAACCGTAGACAAGAAATGGCAAGGTGGCAAGACACCTTGCAAAAAGAAGATGGGCGAATCAAAAGAGGACATGTAATAAAAAAATCACATTCTGTGAAAAAAACTAGACTCTGGAACTGAATTTTTCAAATAGAGAATTTAGCGAAAAAAAATCAGTGTTAAAGTTTTGTTCTTTTAATTTACGCAAAACAATTATTTTTTGCAGAATGAGATAAAGATAGGATGGTACTTCGCGTGCACAAAGCTATTTTTTATTTGGAAAATAATTCTTTTTTTACATTTGCATGAGATATCAGCTGAGCTGAAAATGTATATATATAAGTATGTGAAGTATATTTTGAAATACGATTTCTCATACAAAACGCGCTCAATTGGTTATGCAAGACTCATCTTGCATTAAAAAATGTCAGTTAAAGAGCACGGAGATTCGCGTGCAAAAGTATTTCCCTACCTTGCTCCTCCTCGCCGTCCCTTTTCTCTTCTTCTCGCGATATGCGATCCTAAACACGCGCGAATTCAAGCTTCGTTTTTTCTATTTGATCAAACTAACAATCGGAGCGATCATTGTGAGATAAGACGGCGTATAAGTATAATTTCAATCAATCGGATCTCTTTCGTGCGCGCGTAAACGCTCGCGTGTTGTCACCCCTTCGAGGATCAACGGCGATCTTAAACGCGCTCTGCCATCGCGAATTCACGTGGGTTACCTCTGTCGATCGACGTTATCGCGCACGGCCGACGCGGAACACGCTTCGGAAGTGAACCGTCGATTTTCCTCGTCGAGGATCGAGCCGCTCATCGGAGCGCGTCTACGTGATCCCGGCGCGGTGCGCGCGTCTCGTTTGTCTCGCACGTCGACTGTCCCGCGCCGCGCGCTCCGCGCATGCGCACGGCTTACCCGGCGCACCCGTGACATCCGGGGAGACAGCGCGAATTAAAGTGCTTCGCATCCAAGAGTTTAGATATTCTTCCGCAATTGTTTGAGAGAGACAAACATATACAAAGGATATCGTATCCTGTGAAATCATCTTATCTCTTCTGGATGTAAATATGGCAAAAAGTTTTAAAACTTGCAGAATTATTTAAAAAAAAAATATTTATTTCGCTTATTTCGTTCATCTTTCCAAAAGTGAAATGAACAGCCTTTAAAGAAGTGTTCCTAGATTGTGAAAATCCACCAGTGTCAACCTGCGAATTATTCATTTTCAGAAAAGTCTCCTATCTTCCGCGACGCTGACAAGGTCAAGGTAGGTAGCTTTTATCGCGGACTATCATACGTACGCACAAGAGAAAGAGAAAGAGAGAGAGAGAGAGAGAGCAATTTTTCGCGCGGAGTATATTGCGTAAGAGCGTAACATCGATTCACGGAGCCCCGTTTCCGAAATATTAGAGCGGAGTTTAAGAGAGAGAGAGAGAGAGAGCAATTTTTCGCGCGGAGTATATTGCGTAAGAGCGTAACATCGATTCACGGAGCCCCGTTTCCGAAATATTAGGATAAGTAAGCGGAGTTTCTTCATACGTGTATAAGATCGAGTATTAGAAATAAAGGAGGGCGAGATATTTAAAGATAAAACGGAAAAAAAGTTTTTTGATTCTGAGATCAACATTTATCGAGAGCAAACGTTCGATATTTCATTATTTCTAAAAGTACTTCATTCCATCGAAATCAAGTAAAAAGAGCAGAAGATGGCTCCTCGGAAGAGATAGAATAAAAAATATAGAAAAATCTATCCGTATTCCGGAAGTAGCTTTTCCACTCCCCCCGTTCCGTAAACTTATGAAATTGTCAAAATCCTTCCGTCATATCCGTCAGGTCTTGCCACAGCACTGGTCTGGTACTGCGGATATGCGTGCACTGTATAGCGGACACGGACGAATGTCGCACGGAGAGAATGACATTTAAAATTCGTGACTGAGGGAGCCGAGGCGACGAGGAAAACGACGCACGAGCGTTGACAGCGTTGTGACGTCGTCACATGGAGCATTGAGGAGCAGTTGAGCCGACGAAAAATCAGCGATCATGGACCTCAACAACGATCTGGACCAACATTTGCTGCACCAGTTCAGCTGTCTCGGTACCACGGACAAAGACGACCTGGTGAAGCAGCTGCAGAAGCTGCTGGCTGACAGCCACCTCAACGAAACGACCGCCGCATTCTTCCTGGACATGAACAATTGGTAATCCGTCATCTCGCAGACGTCGTCTTGTAACCGTTTACCCTACCCACGCAGCATATAACCTTGCATCGCCATGTTTATTGTGACTCCTCCCCTCCTCCCCATCCTACTTTTCAAGAGGATTTGTTTGCTCCAAATCATTTTTCTTCTTTCTTTTCTTATTTAACTTGAGAATTTTTGTCCCGAATTAAGATACATTACGCTTTATCCTGTTCTCTGTCATCCTGGTCATTCTGTTTCTTTTTGTCGATATTCATAGATGATCTTATTTGATATCTGCGTCAAGAGATTACTTGTTTTAACATCTTATTTATTCGGATATAAAGTTGAACTCTTTGCGGAACGTTTTTTTCATTTATTTCTAATGTTTGCATTTTAAGTGGATGTACTTATATTCTTATGCTTTGGAGATAATTTGAAGATAAAGAGAAGGAAGGTCAGAAAGCACGTCTAAAAAGAGAGCAGATCTTTTCGTGATGACTAATGATGTTGGTAGTTAGATAGCCAGTTTTTAGTTAATTTATTTGATATTTTATGTAATATTATATTATGAAACAATTTGATACTCCAATTATATCTAATAGCATTGTTCTTGTTTTTATTTTCTACTTATTTTGCAAACAATAGAAGCGATAATAGAACTATTGTTATTGTATTGAAACAAATAAAAGTTTGCTTTGTTGCTTGGATTCATAAAAAATCTTTTCTTCATGCAACTTTAAATCATCACAAAAAATTTTTATTCTCCAGGAATCTGCAAGCAGCAATTTGCAGTTACATCGATTTTGGAAATCCCTTCAACACCCCTTGTATGACATTAATATGTGACAGCACAATTGGTGAAGGGGAAGCTGTGCCACCCAGTACAAACTTTCAGAAGTCATGGCGCGTACAAAACAGTGGCACAGAAACTTGGCCGAGTGGAATCCATCTGCAACATTCTAGCGGAATACTGATGGGTTGTGCAAGGATACCAGTTCCACCATTGGCTCCCAAAGAGACTACAGAGTTAAGCGTAACATTGAAGAGTCCAGCTGAAACTGGTGTCCATCAAAGTAAATGGAGAATGATGACGTCTAATGGTGTCTATTTTGGTGGTAAGTTTGGAATGAGCAAATTTAAGAATTGACATACTATTCCTATGATATAGAGTAATCTGAAAAAAAATCCAAAAAAATGTTAGGAACATGTAATATTCTGCAAAGATAGATACAAAATGTTTAATTGAAACAATGAGGTTTGTAAATCAACTTTGACTTAAGGGTAGACACTATTATCAGGAACTAAATGTGATACGCATATATAGTCTGATCACTTATCTTATCAATATTCTGGACTGATAATATTGGACACTCAAGAATATCATTGTTTATTTTTCAGTAGTTTCCATGAATAAGATAAATTCTCCTCTACATTGTTTTTCTAAATTATTTTATATATTCGATTTGGTCGTACATTTAAATAAACTTTTTTTGTAATACATTTTTTTTTTTTGTAGACGTTATTTGGGTGATTATAACAGTGAACGAGTGTGGCACGTTAGCAGTCACTCAACAGCTTCATCAATTAAGTACACAGTCCAACGATGTACAAATGTGCTAGCCCCAACGTACAAAGTCTCTCCTAAAAAAGATTTATGAAATATTTATGTGAGGTGTCTCTCAGATCATTGTAAGTTCGCGATAAATTGTCGTTTTTAAATTTTATATAGAGAGGTCACTTTCTTTTTCACAACGGAGATTTGTTTACTGCTCCAGCACCTCATAAAAAATAAAAATGCTGTATATTTGAGATAACTACCAATAATAAAGAATGCAATGAAATTGGCCATACTTTTACGCTGATTATAATATTAATGAGATGCAGAGCTAGTTATGAAAGATGTATCTTACAAAATGTATTTCCGGTAAAAGTTATTAGATCTCATTTTGTTAGAAATATAATTCCTTATATAAAGCTAATTTACATAAAGACATATAAACAATTTATACTATATATTGTATGGGAATCATAATTTTGTTATATTTAGCAGCTGCTTATATGTAAGGCCTTTCACGATGTTATCACGATTTGTATCGCGCGTGATTGATCGAAATTACATTTGTATAATAAAATTGAAAAATATACAATGCGACAATTGAGAAGTAAAGAAAAAAAAAAATCGTGAATTTGCAAGTATTGCGCGCGATGGTTTCTGGAGATATTGATATATTATTAAGATACAAATTTATTATAAATATAATTTTTATTAGAAACTAATGTCTATAGAGAGAGTTGTATATGGCTAGGGAGTTATATATAAAATATATTCATCTTACACTTTTATCTGAAACCAGTCTGAAAAACAAGAACCAAACTATTAGAAGTAAGTTTTTTGCGTTTCTCTTCAATCGAAAAATAATACTGTAATTGAAAATACTATTTTTAACCAGTACAGTGCTTAATACTGAGATTTATAGAAAGTCTCATGTTAAGATTTATCAACTTAAGTATATTAAAAGTAATATTAACAAATATTGTGTGAAATTAAATAATAATGTTAGTTACATGGACATAATTTTTTCTTTGAAAAATTTTAATCAGAGGACTTTCAAAAAGTACAGTTTAGACAGCCATTTTCATGTAGAGTTTGGAGTAAGGTTTATAATCAATTAATTCAAAATCCTTGGCAACGAAGTCATCAATATCTTTAATCTCTCTAACTATCCTTAATTTTGGAAACTCTCGTGGTTCGCGCTTTATCTGTTCCTCAAGGGCGCTTACATGGTTGACATAAACGTGACAGTCTCCCATTGTATGTACAAATTCTCCTGGCTGAAAATAAAAGAAAGTAGAAAGTAAAAAAAAATACTTATCTGGAATTTATCAATGCAAAGCGAGAATCGACCCTCACCTTCAAGCCGGTAACGTGAGCGATCATATGAATCAATAAGGAATACGACGCTATGTTGAATGGTACTCCCAAACCCATATCTGCGCTTCTTTGATAAAGCTGCGCGGACAATTCACCGTTATTTACATAAAATTGTACGAAAGCGTGACACGGAGGTAATGCCATTTTTGGAATATCGATTGGATTCCAGGCAGTCATTATAATACGCCTATCATCTGGAGAATGCTTCACTTTGTGAATAACTTCTTTTAGCTGATCTATCCCTGATTAAATAAATATATAGTTAGATGTCAGTTATGTATTTTTGTTTCAAATAAGACATATGGTCTTATTTGTAGATTTAAAAAAAAATAATCTATCAATTATAATTTAAAGAATATCTCTCAGTAAAAGAACAGTACCTTGCCCTGTATAATTTGTGTACATATCCTTGTACTCGGCACCAAAGTGTCTCCATTGGAATCCATAGACAGGCCCCAAATCACCTTCCTCTCTATCTGTGAAACCGCAAGAATCCAAAAAGGCACGTGAACCATTTTCATCCCAAATATGAACATCTTTATCTGTCAGTTCTTTGGAATTTGTTGATCCTTTGATAAACCATAGTAATTCTTCAACTACTGCTCGCCAGAATACTGTTTTGGTTGTCAATAATGGGAAAACACCTGTAAAAATAAATATCTTGAAACAATATTCTCAAATTCCTTCATAGAGGAGTGTACGCACAAATTACTTTACAAAAAAATTTGATAAAAGATCCGCAAATGGAATTGTATTCGACGATTCTTTATGGATGATAAAAGTATAATATATATTTACCGTTTCGTAATCCAAATCGCATTTGCGCACCGAAAATGGAATAAGTATCGACGCCGGTGCGATTGCTTTTCTTTGCTCCAGTTGTAATGACTTTCTCGACGAGCCGCAAATATTGATACTCATCGTGTTCTTGGTTTTTACTTTCTTTTCCATTCATCTTGTTTCCTTTATATCGTGTTTCTCGAGATGACGTTACTTCAACACCGGTCTATGTATTGAAGATCGAGATCGAATCACGTTTTTCGCTGTCAAAAGCGGTTATGAGCGTCCAAGTCCCAAGCGCGGGAAAACAGGGATATAATATAGAGATTAATATTCTTATAATACATTCTTAAATATGTATCCAGATAGCCAAGTCTGTTCGAACAGATTTTGCCAAACGTCTGCTACAAATTTTTGTCAGCAGAAAGATTCCAGATTGTATACAAAGTCTGTTATATCAAATAATAATAGCAGAATGTCAGCAGAAATGTTACAAAACGTGCTGACATAATTTGACAGCAGATCAGTAGCGGATTGAACCGATTAAAACCGATTAAAACGGATTATGTTTTAATCGGTTTTAATTGACCATTTTCGGCAGGGAAGGGTTAAGTAGTTTTATGATGTACTATTTGTAATAAAATCCGCAATATAATTGTGCTATTTTATATATTATATATAATATTTATTTGGGGGGGACATAACAGCGTAATTTTATAAAAATAAAATGCATTTTAATTTTCTCGAGAGAATCTATAATATTTCTATAAATGCAAGACTGATTTTATCAAACAAATACTATTTCAAAAAATAAAAATATTTGACTTATAATGCGACACGGGCACGCCAATATACATACCTTTCTCTATTTGTCTTTATTTCTCCCTCTTTCTTCCTTCTCTATCTTCTCTCTTTCTCTTTTTTTTTCTTTTTTGTTTAGAATCGTACACACCAGAGCACTAGACGTATACTGTTCTTGATGTGTGATTGTATATTCTTTATATACCCTCTATTTTACTCCTTCCATCAAATAATTATTTGATTTTATCTTTGTATCTAAACCATAGACATAGTATATCTAGACCGAGCGTTTGCCTTTATTTAAGGAGTGGGGGTAAAGATGCACGTAGAAAAGGACATACTCTGTTTCGTACCCCTTGCGTTCTCTCTCGCTCGCACATAGCATAGCGAAAGAGTACGCTATGCTACGTGCGAGCGAGAAAGAACGCAAGGGCCACGAAACAGAGTATGTCCTTTTCTACGTGCACCTTGGTCCTCACTCCTCAACACTCGGTCTAGATATACCATGTCTATGATCTAAATCATTTAATAATTGTTAATAATGGCCGCTCGCTGTTCGCGCGTACCCCGACCCTCGTCGCGAAGCCAAACTTTTCGTTGCCATGCGATACTGCGAAGCTCGCCGCTGGCACGCCTAGAGTACGTCCCATGGTCTAGCCGCGCGAAACGCGCGCTCATTCGCAAATCTTTTTTAATTAATATTTCAATAATTATTGCGAAAATTGCAAAATGGTACAGGACTTTTCTGTTCAGTTTATTGTGCTCTACCCGCTCACGAGCGTTGGCACAATCTTTACCGGACACCCTGTATACACACTCGCATGTGTACATACATATAAAGCGAGAAAGGATAGGAGATTCCGAGCGTCTAATATCCAAATATGGTTCGTTCCTGTAATTTCTGTTCCATATATCGAGAAAAAAATAACATCATTTGTGTCGAATGTGTAATAAAATTTGATGCGTTGGTCGTTCGAGGTATGTACAAATATTCTAGAGATACAGTACTTCTCTATGTATATATATATAAATGTATGTACATTATTTGGTAGTACATCATTGGTAACATATACGTACGAGTGACTTTCGCAAAATGAGGACGTAGTGAGCAATTTATGCTCTTCACAAAATTCACTACTTATTGTATCAAATTTCTTAGTAACCATTAAAGTCGTAAACATTAAATAGAATGCTCCGAAACCACTAGATGTTCTTTTCAATTTTTCAGATCGACTCGAAATTATAAACAATAAAATTATTTTTATATTTTCGACTCGAAATTATAAACAATAAAATTATTTTTATATTTTTTACATAATTTTTGATAAAATGTAAGAAAATATTGTCTCAATGTTTTTACTAAGAAAAAATTGTTCCCGCATTAATCATGAAAAGGACATCTCATGACATCGGAACATTGCGTCCCAATGCGATATGTGATGTGATAATAAGTGACTTTGATGATTTGTACAATAGCGTTGGAAAGAATGCTGTTGCAAAACTATGTACTTTTTTCGGCTTAAAAAATAATACTAAGATATAATCCCGTCAAAATATGCCGGTTTCATAACGCACCGCAATTGAGTACCGTTTTCGCGCGGATGGATTCAGACATATCGGCTACGTATTAATAGTATTACTATTATCCTGCGCGTCCGGGGTCGCCTCCTCTGATTCTGCGATGGATGGATTATTATTCAGTCCAGCCTCGGTTGTGTTGTAACCCGAGAATGAGCAGGTAGGCGCACTTCTGGCCTGGCTTATCACCGTGGCCTCAGGCAAGAGCGACGTACGCTCCGTCGCGCTTCCCCAAGCCTGCTGATATGCACCGCGTCCACGTATCCTGCGGCTTAAAGACGAGCCGACGACACCCAAATGTTCCTTTATGTCATTATGCACATCAGAAACATCCCACATTGCTCTAAAAATGTATAAAATGTATATATATGTTAATTACACAGTGAAAATATGATTAAATATTAATATCAGTATCATAACATATATATCGAATTATGTATGTAATTTATTAAATTAGAAGATATATATGAAGGAGTTTATTTAGAGGTGTGTGTTTTAATTTGTTTCAAAATATTTTCATAATCTTTTTATATACCTAAATGCGTCCCACCATGCTTGACCCTGCGCTAAATTGACAAATGGTTTGTAGGAAAAGCTGTAATGATGCGCTACCGCGGCTAAAAACATCTCTATACAAATTAGAAAATCCTGCAACTTGGACGATATATTTCTGATGTGATCTGTATCGTCTGTACCAAAAATACTTGATATAACGTCGAAGTATACCAACAGAGCTATTAATACTCCTTGACTGAAAACCGAGAACGTATTATTTTTAATTCGAATTTGAATAAAACATAGACATATTATGATAATAAACTTACAAAAAAGAGAAAAACACTACAGCTTTGATACACAGAAATTTTCCAATTGGCTTCATTGGCTTCAAGGCCTCCACATTGGCATGGTAAAAGAGTACCAAACAGTACATGGCAACAAATTGTGACAGATTGTTTAAAGCAATCATATATGGAAAAGCGACGTCTCCTCTAAATTCACCTTCTCCATACACTCCGTTCAATTCGCAGATGCTGCAAAGATAGCAGCACAGAATAAGCAAATGCATTCAAATATATAGCAAGATAAAATTAAATTAAAATATTCCTCTTACAATGATACTAAAGTTGATATAGGCCTAACAGCTGTATATTGTAAAATACCATGCTTGCACATATGTACAAACTCTCTGCCCATTTCCCAGTTGGGAAGACAGCAGAGAGGAAACATATGGTGCACTTGAGGAGAGATCTCCAGTCTATGTTCCAATTGGTGGTCGGAGTTCAAATAGGCCAATAGGTACATCATGAAATTATATATCACATAAGCTTCATAGCATTCTCTTAAGCTATCCACGTATATACTGCCCGCAGGATACACCAAACCTAACCACTGTAGACAGAAAACATTCATTAAACAACTAAATAAATATTTATATATTTTTCGTGATATACACAAGGATTTGTAACTTTTTTCTTACAGCATTCACTGCGTAGATGGGTACCATCCATAATATCCTGTAAAATAATATAAAATATAAAATCAGTACTTATATATATTTAATACTATATAACACAGAGAAAAAAATAAATAAATTAAATTAAATCTATACGCATATTTTCTTAGCGACAAAAGATTTACCTTATTATATATTTCTGTAATCTAGGCTGCGTGTAATAGATCATGTGCTGGACAATCTCGTAGAAGGCGATGGGTAATGCTAGCAAGACAAAAGCACCACCCACCAGTGCGCCCTGATCCTCCTTTTTGAAACCAGTTTTGATGGAATTGACTAGCAGGATTGGTACGAGTACAACAATGAGCAGCGCGTACAAACAGGTCAGTACGGGCAATATCCATAATCTCCAACGTCGACAGATCGAAGCCATCACTTCGTTCAGATACTTTGGACACTGTCACATCATAATTTCGGGCCAGAGTACAGTCCTGAAAAAGTGCAAGTCATTAGATGACCCTAAGTTTTATCATATTATTTATATAACTTAATAACAGTGCAATTGGGACACTCAAAGATTCGTGGGTACGATTGAAATTGTATTGCAGAGTTTATAGCACTTTCTATTATCCACTCAATGAACCGTCTTGATGTTTACTTGTCGTAAATACATATACATTCGTCTGATAATTCTCTTAGCAACTTTCATTGAGAAACAATATTAAGCAAATAGAAGTCATTGCGCGTAAAAAAAAAAGAAAACAAAAATACAATAAATGAATGTCGTCCGGCGGGGTGAATGAATCAGCTGAGAGTGACAGATAGATAGGTAGGTGCGAACTTCCTGTCTTCTAACCCCTTGCAGTTCGAGTCATTCGATAATATAATATACGCATTTGAATTATTTACTGTTTCGCCGCTATCGACGAATCAATTCCCGATTTCGGGATGTCGCGAAAGTTTCGTCACCGAACGAAATCTTTCGCCGGCTCGATCGTGGCTGCGTCGCGCCAGCAAATTTCACGCATACGCTCTCTTTACCGCGCGAATATACTAATTTGACATTTCGTGATATTTCGCACGGCCATCGGAAACCGGAAGATTGCCTCGTCCGGAAGAGACGATGACGAACAGCGTCGCCAAGACGCGAACGAAAAATATTTCGTCGGAGTGAAATCTTTATACGCACATACGACGACAAGGAAGGCTCGTCAGATGAAAGACGAAGCGCGAAAAGAGAGGAGAATCGAGCTGTTCCAACGAACGGGAAAAATATTGTAGAGGATCGCGTCGGTTGATCGACGCGATCTAGGGGCTTTCGCTCTTAGCGTGAACGCCGGTCCGCCACTGCGTGGGCGGCGCGGGTGGGGTACATCCGGTCTAATGGCGTCAGGAGCCAAGCACTGTTGTCACATTTTGTCCTACAGTGTTTCAATATTTCGCTTTGTTTATGTCACGCGAATTTCACGGAGCGACGACGAGGAGTCCGGCCGGGCACGCGAATTATCCTAAACGAAGGTGAGAGCGAGGGAATTTTTGCGCGCACGACGCGTATCAAGACGCGGCTGTGATTTTCCGACTGGTCCGGGTGCAGTGACCTTGGTCTCGCTGTCAGAGACCTAAAGTATGCACCAAATACGCGCCAAATTTAAACCTCGAGCAGCGTTCCTCATTAGATGTCTGTTTTATTTAAATTAAATCTCTTGCATTTCTCTCTCATCGAAGGGACACAATCGTTTCATTTGGAACAAAAAGAACAGATGTTCTTTCATTGGTCGTGAAGCTCAATGTTAATGAGAAGTTTACCGTTTGATCTTAACATTATTTTATTATATAATATCAGTATTAAGAGTTTTTTTGTATTTCTGTTGTTAAAGAGTAATATATTGTAAAAAGTATCTCTATACTATTTTCAAAGTTATGTTGAAAATGGATTCTACTTTTTGACAGCTAATAAAATATTTTGATAAATATGTGGAATACAGAACTCTTCATTGATTTAGACGAAACTTTTTCTATTATTAGAGTGCATATAGAATGCATAAATTATAAATTAAATCATTGCTTGATATTATGAAAAAGATAGCGAGTCATTGAATACTCCATACAAACTACATTTATTTTAGCTGCAGAAAGAGAGAGTTTAAAGAAATTAATTTTTTTGTTAATAAATTATGTTTCAAGGTACAAAGAACTGGCTTCTATAGATTGGTAGAAGATTTTGTATAAGACAATTATTAGTTGTACCGGGAATATTCCCAATTATGGAAGTCACAACAGAGGAGGCACAAGCTGTGCTTTTAGAGGGGATGGAAGGTGCACAGTACATCACTATTCAAAGGGCTGATGGAGAATCTTTAAGCAAAGGAGTACCATTGTTATCTCTGAACGGTGAATTAATCTCAGAGGGTATGGTCGTGGATATGATCAACGCTGGAGTTGGCACAGACTACGGCACAGCTACACAATATTACGAGGCAGACGACTTGCTGGACTCGCATGAATTGACAGAGGTTGTAATATGCTACTTAGTGCTTGTACAGTTGTACATTTATATCTTGCATATAGAATGTGAATTATGTGATGCAGGAGGACCGTAGACTTGCTGCAGCTTTGGTTGCGGTACAGTTTCATCAGCACCAGAAGCAGCAGCAACTCCATATCCAGTCTCAACACGAGGATCCGACTCTACCTGATGTTTCTCAACTGGAAACTCTAGCACCTGTGAATTCGTATTCGATTCAAACTGTGCCGGAACCGAATGCCACTCCTCCTGTGTATCCATCTTTGCAACCTTTTAAAAGAATCACGCAAAACGTAAAGCAGGAGTTCATCAATGTTAAGAGCGAATATGATGTTGAGGTTTCTACAGAGAGCAGTGAAGATGCTACGTCGGCGTCCGGACCTAAGAGAACTTTACCGCACAAGAAGAGGATACCTCGTAAGCTGAAACAGCAACAGACCAAAAAGAACGCGGCACGGAAAGACAATAACAAATCGGGTCAAGAAAATACGGCAGTTGAATTAGCTAGTGAAATCCAGACTAATGTCTTCAAGTGCGAATTGTGTAGTTCTAAGTTTAACAGTCAGCTGAAGTTCTTTGAGCACTTAAAGGTATATTCTATTCACGTTATATGTAAAGTTTATACATATCTTTATAACAAAATATCAATCACATACATGTATCTTTACAAAAAAAAACAAAAACAAAGATTGAATAATTTATAGGTGCATTATGAACCAGTAAAACAAGAGACACGAATAGCTCAAGCGACAAATACTAACATCACGATATCAGTGCCAGAAACAGTACACAGTCTAGAAAATACAGTAATCGAAGAATTCAGCGAACCCGAAGATCTTATGGAAGGTATTCGAGGTGTAGGTAAGGGAGAATGCTTTCAATGTCAATGTTTTTAAAATTTTGCTATATAGAAACTGCTTATAAAAATGGTTTTTCTTTCTTTACTCACAGTGGAAGAGACTGGTGCGCATATCGATGATGATACAGACTCTCCGCTACCCATTACAAACAACGAATCGTCATTGTGGACCATTACCGATGCCACAGAGGTACAACAGAGGGACCAACAACAAATAAAACCACCGGCCGTTAGCGAAAATAAAAATTCCGATGAGAAGGGGAAGACTGACATTCCACAGACTGCTAAGAAAAAGAAATCACCGAAAACGCGAAAGTCAAGTTTGTATTAATCTTCTTCAAAAGTCTTTCGGTATGCTGAAAGAAATGGAAAGGTATAAAATTGTATTTTCTCGTAGGTGATGATTTGACGTGTCGTGAGTGCAATCGTTCATTCCATCATAAGAATAGCTTAGTCTATCATATGCGATCTCACAGCGGAGACCGACCGCATCAATGCGAGATTTGTAGCAAACGTTTTTTTGCTGCTAGCGCATTAAAGGTAAACACTGATATCGCTAGCGAAGCGTTGTATAATGTTGCATATTAATAATATATAATTTTTTTTTATCAACGAACAGGTACATATGAGACTTCATAGCGGCGACAAACCGTACAAATGCGAGGTGTGCGGGCGACACTTTCGACAATGGGGCGACCTGAAGTATCACTCGACGAGCATTCATTCGGAGCAAAAACAATATCAGTGCGAATATTGCGCCAAAGAATTTGCGCGAAAGTACTCACTAATTGTGCATAGGCGCATTCACACCGGAGAGAAGAATTATCGCTGCGAGTATTGCAGCAAAACGTTCCGGGCGAGTAGTTACTTACAAAATCATCGTCGTATACATACCGGTGAGAAGCCACATCCATGCACAGTGTGCGGGAAACCGTTTAGAGTTCGAAGTGACATGAAAAGACACATGCATACGCACTCTCGAGCGAAGACGAATGACAAACAGCAGTCGCTGAACAGGATCCTAACGGGGAAGAACGTGGAAGGTGTGGAGGGCGATAAAGTACAGGCAAAAACGATTCAGGATCTCGTGAGAGATCTGAAATTGGAAGTCGAGGCGACGGGCAACGTAGTGGACATCGTTCCACCGGACGATAATCCGGAGAGCATTTTACCGCACACTGGCGGACAAAACTTGGAATACACTATAACGTCGACGGCGGATACTATAACCGCGGACAGAGATCCCCTGGAAGCCGTTGCGCGAACGACTGATAACATGTGAGTAGAATAAATATATCTCTAAATTGCCTTAATCGATTTCTTAAATAGATAAAAAATGTTTAATTTTTTTCTGTGTTTTTGCAGGCAATATTTTTTTGGACCGATATAATGTTGGACTGTTCCACAAGAAAAAAATATATGCTATACAACAAGTTGGATTATTCGCGGAATATTGGCGCTCAACCGGTTTGTAAAAAATTACATTTTTATCGCGGGCTTTTTAGCAGATTGTCCGGAAATATATTTAGAATAGCTGTAATTTTCCATTTTATAAAAATTCTGTTATGCATAATTTTATAAATCTTTTAAAGTTTAGACTTTAAAGATTTTTACTTCCGGACAATCTAAATTTGTAAATCTAATGACTGACAAATGAATTGCATTAACGCACTGCCTATAAATAATGCATAACATATGTTACAATATTTCTCGAAAGGAGTAAATAATTTATGTAAAAGTATATAGGCCGTTACCATTTCACATAAATGAAAATCGAAAAAAAAAACAGCAAGATCCATAAAAAATATCATACACGCATACATACACACATACATATGTTGTAATCAACACTAATCACACGATTGTGTACATTTTTAAATCTAGACAATTTAGCGGTTTATATATTGTGAATCATCGTTAAAAAAAAATATATTTTTTACTTGAATATGTTTATAGAAATACATTGGTCCATTTCTTTTTTGCGATTTTTGATACGTTTAAATAGCCGCAGGTATTAGTGTTGATACGGTTGTATCGGCTTTACCGGTGAAAATTTGCAAGATAGTGGCTAAGTCCCTGGATTCAAGAGCACTTTGAAGCTTCGCCGTGGCCTCCTTGCCACTGATTCTGTTTTATATGAATAATATTATTAGAATTAGGAAATAATACTTTCGTAAAAAGTCATTTATCGTCACCTTCGAGATCGTTTCGCTCGTTCCCAATCTACGTATAAGTCGGTAATGATCGCATACAATCTGTTCAGAATCTCGGTATCTTTCATCATAAGCGATCTGATCTCTGTTTCCTTCTCTAGCAATTCTTGATACTGGGAGCATAAATTTTCCTTTGGATTGGACTTGAGCTCCCATTCCTCGAGAGCGTCCAGAATTTTTATTTTCTGTATTAAATCGTGGGCTGCATTCAGTCGGGGGAGAATCAATTCCAGGACTCTAGATATACTTCCTTCTGCTACTTCTGCAAGAAAAAAATTCATGTTTAATTTACTTACTTTAC